GCAGAAAACCACAAGCAGTCAAAATGCAGAGTTTCAGGGCCCAGTTCCAATGGATTCATCTACAAAACAACCCCTTACCCAAGGTTCAGGGAACAGTGCAGTAGAGGGGGACGGAAGACTGTAAGACCCAGAGGAGCAGGGAGCTTGCTGTGAGACTCTATTTCCTAATAATGTCAGAGGCTACACCATCAAGTCTCACCGACATGACTGCCCAAGCGTGAGCTGAACAAGGCCACCAGTAGAAACGACAAAGTGCATGAGTGAAAAGCAGAGAGGCCTCAACCATACACAAAGAGCCACAGGCAACCAAGGAATGCTAAAAGTGGGAGAAATAATCTTCTCCAGGGAAGAGCACATCAAATGGTTACCCAATACCAAATAGCCCTTAAAACATATATGCAAGTAACATTATACAGACAGAGCATTATATGCACACACAACACACACACACACGCACACACACATGCACGCACACACACCACACACACACACACACTATATATATATATATATATATATATATATATATATAATATATCTTCTTAGTGTGTCAAACATTTTACCACACAGAAAGAAACACATTGTTATTTGACCCCTACAACAAAGGTGACAAATAGTCTTGTTTTGGGGACAAATTGTATCAAGTATGTTGTAATTCAGCGAAATTCTGTCTAACATCAGAGCATAGAGATAATCATTATCTTATGAGTGTAGCAACAACTAATTAAAGAAGAGACCATAAATCTGAAAGAGAGCAAGGAAGGTATGTTGCATGGTTTGGAAGGAAGAAAGGGAAAGAGAAAATGGTATAATTGTATCATATTCTCAGAAATAAAAAGACACATTTTTTAAAACGTTCCTGGGCCAGGTGATGGCTCAGATGGTAGGGTGTTTATCACCTAGCTTGATGCCCCAAGTTTGATCTTTGGAACCCTAATGGAGGATACAAGAAAAAAAATCCACTGTCACAGTTTCCTCTGAACTCCACATGTGTGCTGTGGCACACACATGCACACACACAAAAATAAATTTGAAATGTAAAAAATTTAATCTCAATTATTCATATGATCAAACAGACATGGAAACCACTGGATCTTATTGTTCCTGCTTGAGAATTAATGCATATGGGTGTTAGTGTGCACCAACGAAAGGGCAGACAAAAACTCTTCCTGGGAAGAGCTCATAGTCCATCTCAGTGGAACAGTACTACAATAAGAAATGGTAGCAGGTCTTGTGTTCTGGTGTTAGAGAGAATTTTGCTAAGTTCCAAAATACTTGATGCAACTTTTTCACAAAACAAGACTAGTTACCACTTTTGTCTCTAGGGGTGTTAAAGGGATTAAATAACAATGTGCTTCTTTCTATCTGGTAAAATGTCTGACACACTACAAAGCTCAGTCTGCACCCTACCTCTACTGAACAAGAAGAAAACTTTAGAGAGGAGAAGAAAACCAAGTCCCTCATTGCTAGAGTGTCTGATTTTTCAGAGCTCATTTATCTTCAATGTTGCTTTTCTAGAACAATTTCTTCCTCTCTTCCCAATTCTCCTAAACCCTTAGTAATCTCACAGGTCTTGATCATGCCATCTCCACTTGGAAAAGAGTCTGTTGTTGGGCTACAGATCAAATCCAGAGCCTCCTGCATATAAAGTAAATCTTCTACAACTGAGCCATCCCCTCGTCTCTCCCCAAGTGTTTTTAAAAGTTATCTTTTATGTGTATGCACATATGTAACAATAACTAAAGAAAAAGGAGATGGATTTAAGAGGAATGAGAGATACATGGGAAGGGCTGAAGGGAAGGGGCAAAGGGGAAGGGCAAATGATGACTTTAAATTTCAGAATCATAAAAATCAAATTAAATGCAAGCTTATTTAAATTCATAAAGTTAACAAGAAAAAGTTAAATTTTTTAAAATTTTTCTACAAAAGCAAAATACCTATCTGCAATTTTTATCTTAATATATGTCAATCACTCTCTGTCCTTGCAACAGTTCTAGATTATGTGTCTCATAACTGAAGTATTCTAGCTCAGGAATATTGGAAGCTAATATCATGGGAACTTCAAAAACACATGGAATCGGTTCAATTAAATTACTACTAATCATATAATATATGATGCAAGGTACAATTCGAAGGGACACTTTGAAAGTTAATTGTCATAAGGAAACTGATTTGAGCCTAGTGGGAGAGATTTGAAGCGCTTATACAGTCTTACAATAATAAAACGTGCCTGTCCAGTTCCTCGGTACCTAATGAAGACTAAATCGTATGCATATTTTATTTACATATTGAACAATGCAGTGCTCTGTTCAGTGAATGATGTTCTTCTGCCACTTGGTGGTGCCTGCCAGTTGCAGAATCCGTTTCTTGGTGGCTCTGCAACACGAAGTGCACTGTGAGTGGGGCAGCAGTACCGCACTCCCGACCAAAGGCTTTGCTCCCAACTGCTTAGTGATTCAAAGAACCTCTGTGGAGGCAACTGTGTTAACCATTCACAACCAGTAATTGACTCCGTTGACGTTTTAAGTTACTGTGGGCAAAGTGTCTGAAGAATACACATTCTTACAACACACGCCAAAATTTTACTTAGCAAAGAATTCAATAACAATTCTCCTCGCTAAGAGGTTCTGTAAAATTCAACGTTATAGTTAAACCCTAGGATCCTAGCTCTGGTTTATGGTTATAATTACTGCAAAAAGACGTTGTCTGAAGGATTTTGTCTTAAGTTCAAGTGGAGCTTGTTTTAATATGCCTGATTAGTTGCTGATCTCTGATCGAGCCTGGAAAATCCCAGGTTCTCACTCTGTACTGTGGGTTTGGTGCGGCTGGGTCTGCATGGAGCTTGAATGTCCGTTGCAGTCTCTGCTGAAAGGCAGCTCTGTTTCTTTGTTTTTGCGATATCTCTGGCAGCTCCATCTTCTGGGCATTCCTTTACCTTCAACAATTCACTTGCTCCATCTAAAAGCCGATTTTTCTGATGCCTCCAACGTCTGGTCAAATTGATCTGTGTTAATGGAGTCTTCGCTGGTGAGAGATGTCATTGACTGGAACGCTGAGATCCGGGGCCGCTTATGTGCCAGGGGCAAGAGACACCAAGATTCGGAAATCTTTAGAGGTGGGCGGGGGAGGGGAAAGATAGTCTTGGGAGGGAGGCTAGAGATGTGAGATAAAGGGAAGGTTTTCACATTGAGGAAGAAAGAGAGGTGGCTTTGAGGCTCAGAGGTGCTGTGGGATCACAGCTCTCAAAGGCGAAGTTAAAAGGCAGCGGGGTGGGAGGAGGTTGGAGGTTACAGTACTTAAAGGGATTGCTCTGGCATAGTTTGTTTTCTGGCGGTGTCTGCAGAGGAAAGATATCCCCTTTTCAAAGTCTATTGGTGCCCCTTTTAAGTGATTTAGGTAAAGCACGCTAATTGCTTGTTAGATGCCATCAAACAATGCTCTCCGTCAAGATTCAGAAGAGTATGGTGTGTGTGTGGGGGGGGGAGGTACAAGGAAATTTCAAGAAAAGGGGGAAGGATATGCGAGCTCTTGAAAGATAGGAAGAAGAAGAGAGACTGGGAAAGGAGAAGGAAGAGGAGGGAGAGAGAAATAGAAAGGAAGTGTATATGTATGGTGCAGATGAAAAAAGAAATCCCGAATAACTGAACGATCACACACACACACGCGAGAAAGGGGGGAAAAAGAAAAAGGAAAGAAAGAAAGAAAACTCTTTGCTGCAAGGAATCCAGAACCCTGTGACTGCAGTGGCGACCAGAGTCGCAGGAGACAGACACTCCTATCCATCCTCGTCCCAGATAGCTCTGGGCCCTAAAAGCTAGCATGCCATTAAGCTAAAGAGTGTTTCTAACTGCGTGGAGTGCAGCAGAAGGAAGGCGGTGCTGCTCTGCTGTTTCCCGAGTACTGGAGCAAAAGAGAACCAAGCGGAGCCAGTGACTCCAGCCGGGTTAGACTCCTTTGCCTCTCCCAGGTCACTGGTGATCCCGCAGATGCGGAGTAAAGCCCCCAGGGCTACAGCCAGCGCAGCCTAAGCGAACCCTCTCCTCCGGGGACGCCGCTTCGCTGTGGATTCGCCCTGTAACCCATTCTCAGCATAGATACCAGGAAGCCTCTGTCTGCTCCTCCAGCCACCTGTCCCAACCAAAATTGACCTTCCAAACACATTTGGCTGCGCCTTTTAGACAGCCACACTAATAGGTTCCAGGCTGCACCAGAGCGCGCTGGGGAGAGCGAATCAAACCTCCTTGGCTGCCCTAGCGGGTCTGAGCTGCGGAGAGCCTGGAAGGGGAAAGGAGGGACGAGGAGACCGGGGAGAGCCAGGGAGACCGACTGGCTGCGCCCGCCTGGAGAGCACCCTCGGGTTTGCAGCTCCTCGGGGAGCCGCCGCTGCTGCTTCAAGCCATCCAGAGCTTTCTCGCTCTCACCCAGCCACCTCTCACTCGCTTTTCTCGGCGGCCACCGCCTAGGGAAGCATCCTTATGCTTCTTACCACGCTACCACGACATGCCCAGCCTGGACCCCTTTCCCCGGCCCAGCGGCGCCAGCCAGCGGGGTGCCCTCTGCTCCCCGCCCGCTTCCCCCTCGCCTGCCCTGTGGCTGCGGATTCTCCACCTCCTCCGCCCCCACCATCTCCAGCTGGAAGACAAGGCCACCCAGCCGCGGCGGGTGCTGGCAGCCCCGGGTCACGCACGGAAGAGAGGTGTGCAAGCCCGGACCCCGCGCACGGTAGGGGGCGTCCTGGCGCAGAGCAGCGAGGCAAGTGGGACGGAAGAGTGTGGGAGTAGCCGCCGCCCCTGAAGCCTGAGCTTCTCCCAGGAGCCATCCCCTGCCTAGCCCGACTAGGGCAAGAGCCTAGAGAGCTAGCCCATCTGTGGCATCGGTGGCCGCCTCCTCCTTGCACCTCCTCGCCGACCCCTCCCTCCCGGGACCTGCATCCCGCTCCGCCAATCAGAGCCCGACTGCCGCTTCCCACGTGACCCCGGGCGGGCTAAGGACCTGCTGCTTCCCAAACGCCAGAGGGATGCGGGCGGCAGAGCGCGAGAGGCGGCGGCCGGGCTGCGGGGCGCTGTGACGGTCCCTCCACCCAGCCTAGTCGCGCGCCTCTCCTCTACCCGCTGGCCGCCTCCTCTCTGCCCCCTTGGTTCCTGTCTCCTGCTCCTCCTTTGCCCCAGCCCCGTTCCTTATGGCAGCAGCTCCCCGCATCCGGGGCGCAGCTTCTCAGCGGACTATCCTTTCGCTCCCGGGGCTGAGCCGGGTCACTGGATGTTGCTGAAAACTCCCGAGATCATGCGCTGCTTTGGCCGCAGCCTCCCCGCCGGCTGTCCCTGCCGCCGCTGCCCCCGCCGCCTCCTCTGCTGCCGTGGTCCCCGGGATGCTCAGTAGCCCGCTGCGTGGCCCCCGCGATCCCGTGTTCTTCGGAAGCCGCTGGTTGCTGCAGAGTTGCGCGAAGTAGTCATGGTGCTGTGGGAGTCCCCGCGGCAGTGCGGCAGCTGGACACTTTGCGAGGGCTTCTGCTGGCTGCTGCTGCTGCCCGTGACGCTGCTGATCATAGCCCGCCCGGTGAAACTCGCTGCTTTCCCTACCTCCTTAAGTGACTGCCAAACGCCCACCGGCTGGAACTGCTCCGGTAAGTCCCGACCCTCCCTCAGCTCTCCACTCCTTCACCCCTCAGAAGCGCGGAACCTGTACAGACAGACCTGCCTGCCCACCCGCGTGCGGCTGCCCAGCCCCACGCCTTCCACTGCCTGGAACCCAGGACTTCCCACCTCCATCCATCCTGAGAAACACTGGGAAAAGCTTCAGCCAGAGAGGGTTGGACCCTGCTGGGACAGGAACAAAGTGCAGGTGTCGGGGAACCGTGGATGTCTGCCCTCAAACTGGAGCTGAGAGGATTTAGAGAAATGCTAAGGGGTAGTTTTCTTGGTTCTTGAATCTAAGGGAACACCTAACACAGACTATTCCCCGTCATTTAAAAAAAAAAAAAGTCTAGCCTGGCTGTGCGAGGAAATAACTTTATGAGAAAGAACAATCGAGAAAGCAATAAATCAAATGATGACTGCAGGGGGAACCGTTAATTCCTGCCGAAAATGCTTCTGAATCCAGGGGTTTCCTACCCAGCACTGGGTCACAGATATTTCTAAAGGAGGCAAGTTTCCAGGGACTGACTGACACTCCTTCCTCCCTCCCCCTCTCATTTCTCTCCCTGCTCTCTCCCTCCCCCTCTCCCCCTCTTTCTCTTTCCTCCTCTAGCTTGCTCCCTCTCTGTCTCTAGCTCTCTCTTGCGCGCCCTCTCGCTCTCTCCCTCCCTCTCTCCTCTCACCCTCCCTCCTTTCTCTCTTTCTTTGGCTGCAAACGCCATTGATTGCGAAAGAGGTTGATTTTGTAGCCAAAGGATGCCCATCCAGGCTTCCTCAGCTCCTATGAGGAGCACAGAAGTTGAGAAAGAAGTGATCACAGATTTCCCCAAAGCCAGAATGGGCATGCCCCAAGCCTGGGAGATTCACTTCTGAAAACACAGTGACCCTACCATAGTGGGTTTTAACCCCCTTCACTGGATTTTCTGGAGTGACAGGCAGTCAGTCCTCTTGCTCATTCAGTCCCTGTCAAAATGCTAACACCTGACAGGCTGTACTACTGAAGCCACTAATTGAAAAGGGCCCAAAGATTGAAGTTATTGCACTCTTCCTGGCTGGTTTTACATTTCAGTATGAGAGCCTCTCGTACACCTGAAGAATTGTGGTGTGATTGCTTTGGCATTTTAAACTTTATAAACATGCCTGGGCATTGTCCTCGTGGTCTGGTCTGGTCTCAGTTTAGCAAGTGTGTTTATAGTGTTGCATTTTTTCTGTAAATAAAATCCTGGTGCAATGAAGTCTGTCTTTGAGTGAGGTGGCTTTTTTTGTGTAGAAGTGTAAGTGAAAGGAAGTGTCTGTAACTGTTGAGAGGGTGTGATTATTATCTGTAACTTATAGGTGGAGACATGTACAGTTCTATGGAATGACTAATATAAACCCCAAAAGGCAGTTAATATGCGCCACTCCAGTTTAGCATTTGTTAAGACAAGTTGAAATGTGCAGTCCTATTATATTTGGGTCAGTAGACTGACTTTATTCTGCTTTGAGTAATTTCTAAATTTGGCATTTTATAAAACTCAACATGTCTCTAACTTATTCTTGGTTTCTGCATTCCTGTGTGCTTTTTTTTTTTTTTTTTTTAAGAATAAGTTCCATTTGGGAACAAAACACCCTTACATTTGATTGTAGCTCATGTTCAACATGGCTAGTTTGCTGCATCCTTCACTGATATTAGTATAGGAAATAGCTAACTTAAATGTGACATTGGCAAAGAAGAAATGCACTCTGAGCCATGTATCTCAAAGGTGTGTGCACTAACTAAAAAGAATGAACTTGGCAGCCCCTTCCTTACCTCTGTTAACTTGGAGGTGATCAATCTTCCTTTGAACCAGAGAGACCTTCATAGAAAACGCCAAGCCTGTTTATCTTTATTATTGAGGTTTTGCTTCCTCTTTGTCTGGAAAAAAATTGCAAATAAGAGTCATTTCAGAGCTTACAGCAAAGAACAATTAAAGATAAAGAAATACTAACATAGCATCCACACACCATCACTAGATCTTTTACAAAAATGTTGAGTTTGGGTCACTGGTATAGTCTGTTTCGGGGGGGAGGGGGGAGAGAAAGCTGAGAAGCAGTATCAAACTTCCATTCAGTCAGTATTAACCTAAGCTAAAATTAGGAAAGATACTCAAAAGATGATATTGAAAGAGAAGTTAAGAGGAAACTACTGTAGAAGTATAAAATATTATTGATCACTTCATTAGATTTTGAGATTATTAGTAGAAAGCAGCCTTATGGAACATCTGTGGCTGTTGAAATTAAATTTTAGGAAAATTCTATGAATGCCACAAAATAGATTTCTCTTTAAAAAATCCATAACCTTTAAAATGACTGGAGCATTCTCTTTAAACTCGAGGTTATGATGACAGAGAAAATGATCTCTTCCTGTGTGACACCAACACGTGTAAATTTGACGGGGAATGTTTAAGGATTGGAGACACGGTGACTTGCGTCTGTCAGTTCAAGGTAAGATATCTGATATTTGCAACCTCAATTCATTACAGAGACTGAAAGGTAGAGAGTTCCTTTCACAACCCATCACTTGGCAATGTATAAACTATACAGACTCAAAGGGAGGCTGGCGTCAAACAGAAGCACTGCCAAGAGAGCAAGCTGGTGTCAAGAAGACATGCCTTTTAGAGACCGGTGTGTGCCACAGTTAAAAATGCCACTGACGCCAGGAGCTCCAAGGTTCCAATTTCCAGATATGGAATGCATGCATTTTATAGGTCAGTTGACTGTGGATAACTGTCAAAGTGGTCAGTGGATAGAAGGTGTGGCTTTGTACTTCTGTTCTTCACCAGAATTGTCATTTTTTAAAAAAATTCTATTGTTCTTTGTTTTGGTGGGCTTTGGTTTCTTTATCCTGTCAATATGACACAATTTTAACTTAACTTCTATTAAGGTCACTCCAAAACTACTGTGCCAACTTGGAAATCGTGAACCTTGTTAATAGAAGTCAAAGTTTTTCACAATAGCACACTAAATGACTACAGTCTCCTAGGAATCCTAAGAGGCACCCAGAGCCTCAAGTTGATCCTCACAGAAGGAAGATGCACGTTGTCATGTGTCATGGAAGTCAACAGTTGTAGAGATAATATTTTTACAAAGGAGGTATCATCAAAACTAGTTTTTAAATTAATTTAAAACAATGCTACCATTGTTGTTATTACAATAATTATTTATCATATTATCCCATCTTGTAAATTATTGGACTTTATTTCTTCTCCAAATATTCATGTAATCATATATTGCCTCAAATGACTTGTATATTGCACTTGATTGTTATTGAATTACATTAAAAACATACACTGACATCTAATATATACTGAGCCCGGGATTATGCATATAAATAAAACTGCACACAAGATCAGCAGTGCTTCAAAATTATAAGAAAAAAAAATGAAAGTTACAGAGAAAATAAAAAAACTCAAAAGTCATATTTAAATATCTGACTTAATATACAATATTGAGAATTGATTTAATATTAAATATTGGGGATTTAATTCAACATCTTGGTGAGGCAGATAAGGGAATTCACATTTAAATACAACTTGAATTACTTTTGGGCAAGATAAAAGTGTCCTTAGGCATTATTTTCACATTTTTGAGAAGCAAAGTGAGCCAACTGGTAGGTTAATGTGTCGGAAGATAGTGCGATCAGAAATGTGTCTGTGCAGATCACATGCGTGGGGCATCAACTTTCAAAGTCTCTACCACAGTGAGTGATGAACCACATTCCTCCGATGAACTACATGAGGGCGATGGAGCATGAGCGCTCCCAACTTAAAATTTTTAGAGATTAACAGGTGGGGAAATCAAGTTGGAGAAATCACTGAAGGCCCGTGGAATTTTACAGATTTTTAAGAATTGTGTGATTCCCATGAATTTCTCTTACTTTTGTAACCTAGGATGGATATAGCAAGTAAGTTTTTAAATAGTATACAGTGGTCTAGGAAGAACATTCCTCAATTGGGAGCTTGTGTTTATGATACTTTACCTGGAAGAAATCAAAGGAATTGGTAGAATTCTAACTGGGTGAATGCAGGAAATGGAAATGTATCATTTTCTTATTGAAGGAACTGTTTGATTTTTAGCTGTCACAGGGAATTTTTGTCAGCCAAGATATTTGTGCTTTTTATGCATTGGTCAGCCAATATGTATTAACTTAAGTAATTGTGGAGTAGGTTGAGAATAATAAGTGAAAATATATACTATAAGTTTATATTTCCTAATTTCCTACTGGATTATATTGATATTAATGTGTGTTTTTATAATAGTCAGTCTTTGAAGAGAAAAAAAAAACATCTATCTAGTAGTAAATTTTTACTTTATATATGTGTCAGAAATATTGAATGTCTAAATCGCAGTGATGGTCAAATAAAATTGTACAAATTACATTAAAATGATGAACTGTGCTAAGGAAGGAGTTCCTTGGTTCCCTCCCAGTCTTTAGGGTTTTGTTGTTATTCTTTTGAGGGTTTGTTTGTTTTCCTTTTGTCTTCCGACTTTTATCTGGAAAAAGGAAGAGATCTGAAAATCTCTTCTATATAGTATCCTAAACTTCTGTTTCTTTCACATTTTCAGATATAAGCATGAATTATTCTATTTAAAATGTAATGTGCCATTAGTCTTTCCGGATGTGAGATAAATTTCAAACAGAAATGTGCACATTGTGCATAACTTGTAATGTCTCCCAGTATTTATTATTACTCACGCACTAAAATGAACATGTATGATTCTGATTTCCCTCAGATACTTGAGGATACATTCATTTCTACCCTTCAAAACTAACTCAATTCTTGCAACTCAATTAGGTAATTTTGGTTAGCTGGCTCACTCTTTATTTTTTTCCCTCCATCATTCCATTTTTCCTTTCTTCCTTCTTCCTTCTACAGTGCTGGTGATTTAACCCAGGACCTTAGGCAAGTGTGCTACAACTGACGTACATTCGCAGATCCTTTACATTGTTCATAAGATGAGAAAATTTATTTCCATTAATATAAATAATTTACCACTAAGTCATTAACCTAGAGTAGATGAAACACCACAAACAACTGATGTATTTATAAAGTACCCCAAACCTAGCTTTTCAATATTATTATGCATGCAAATGAAAATTCCAGTAACACAACAGCAGTGCCAATTTGTTACAGATGATAATTAAGAACCAAAGCAATATAAATTGAACATCCATAACCCAGAAATCCAAATTCTAAAATACTCTGAAATCCATCATGATATTTAAAATGTTTTGATTTTTTTAAAGCATTTTAGATTTGGAATATTTTATATGGATGCTCAAAGGGCAGAGCCTGCTCTAACATCCTACAAATGCCAAGATCTCAAATGCTATCCTCCTAAACATTTTGGATAAGAGGTATTAAACCTCCTTAAATAATTATTAGACAATGAAATAAAATTTTAAAATGTCATGCAATCTCATACCTCTTACCTTCCTACCATAATACCAAAAGATACGCTAGTCAATCTGGTAAATCAGCTGTGGAGAAAAGGCTGAGAGGCAATGAATAGATGAGTGGATGGATGAAGGAAAGTAAGGTCCAAAGAAAGATGAACGTTAGGAGGGGAGGCAGAGAGGAAGACACAATTGTTCTCAGTTCTGGTCACAGAGTGATCAATGTTAATTTTATGTTTAAATTATGAGGTAGCTTTATGCTTTCATGATAATTTTCTAACTTGGGTATTAAATATTTGCACTTAATAAACCATGCTTTATATCTAAAATGTCCAATTACTGGTGCTGCTTAAATTTTTGCCCAGAACTTAGAGGCTGACTATGAGTGTTTATCTTATTCATAGATCTGAGGTTTTGATGAGGCTATTAGAACCAGCTTATCTCCACTCTCTACTGTCATTGGCTAAGGGACAGTAACTCAAAGCATGCTCAGTTCAGGGCTCTAATTCACCCCTGACCACCACCTGCAGAGCTTGGCTCTTCTCCACCTCTGGCTCCTGGCATGGGCTACTTTGGGCTTTGATATAGCATGGTGGCTGGGTTTCAAGGGCAAGCATCCAGAGACGGGGAGGAGCCTATGAAAACTCATGTTCTTCAATGACCTGGCATGGAGAGTGACAGACACATTCACCACAGTCAAGGACTGCCATTTTAAAAAACCACAAACATTATACATTCAGGCAGATGTAGTCCTAGAGAAATCAAAGTTACTTGTGGAATAGTCAAATGACAACACATACAGATTTTTAAACATTTTCTCCTCCAAAAGAGTACTATATTATCTTAAGCTATTCTTCCTCAGCCTTTGACAACTGGGAATATAACAGAATTTACTTAACATCTGTTGAGAACCTTCTCCATGCCAGACTCCGTGGAAGGTGCCGGCGATAGATAAAACTTAAGTCACATATAGCTTCTAGATGCTGAAATCTCAGCTCTAAAATATGTATTAACCAAACAAGCATTAAATCACATGAAAATTTTTATCATCTTTTTATTCCCTGGTAGCAAAGATGAATTCTATATATCTTGGAGAGTCAAGTTATTGAATCCATTAATGTAGTGTACGGCTATCTTAAGCGATGTGAAAACTTGGGGACAAAGTCATTTTATTGAAAACAAATATTTGGAAAGTAAACTAAGATTTTAAAGACATGAGGAAAAATAGAATCACTTATTCCTCATAGAATTTTATGTAACACTTACATTTATAGACTTAACCATAATCTGGGTTTGACTTTTCTTTTTTCTTAACCAAGCAACCATGTAGTCTTTAGTAAGCTACTGAACATTTAATTTTCCCCTATTTTCAGACCTTAAACAATGCCATGACTACCCCCCAACAACCATTTTCAAGAATTTGGCATATTTTGGTGCAGCTGTTCCCATATAGGGGGTTGGAATGTATTCCTTTGTTTTCTAATTCTAAAAACAGAACTCCACAGTGAGTGGTAGTTCATGACTCTGCTAGGAAAAATATGTGTCACGAACGCCAAATAACTTCCATTTCATAGGTGATATTTACAAGGAAGCCTATGGTCTTAAAGCATGAATTTGTTAGTTCTCCACATGTCCCTACTCACTACTTCAGATGAAGAAACTAAGCTACGGATGTACAAATGCTTAACCGTGGAGTAACATAACCGATACCTACGTAAAGATGGTGAGAAAGAGAAGAAAACCCAGGACTAGACATCCACCTTGAGCTTTGGTGACTGAGAATATGTTTCCTTTTGTGTTTTTCATTTTAATGAGTGCAAGTCATGGTACCAAGGGCCAAAAGCATCGTGGTGATAATCTACAGTTAAGCTCTTCTCAGCTCTATACAAATCCCCCTTTTGGCTTCTGCATGGAACTTGGCAGCTCTGTTTTAAGCACTGTTCACATTTGGCTTACTGCATCCCACAGAAGTGACATATGAGCACTTTATCAGTTTATTCTCTATTTTAAGATGCATATCAGCATCGTGTCATAGCACTTGACAAAGATAATAAACTCTTCCCGCCCCCCACTCAGTGCAGTGGCCCACTATTTGACTGACCTTCTGAAGTACATGAGAAGATAGAGGAAGGAAAAAGTCAGAGTTAGATAGAAGAAAACATGAACCCAAATTATATGCACATAGAATATTGCTAAACTTAGATGACCAGGGACAAGAATGCCAGACCCAAGCATAAGATGTTAATAAACCAGCCATCCACATCCATTTTAACTCTCATGTCTTTAAGGAAAAGGTAAGCCAGTCTATTTTCCATGGTGTTACCATCTCTCTCCTTCTTCTCTCCTCCAAGCCCCCAGATAGCCCTGGAGCTTCAGGGAACTCCGAAGTCCCCCTACATTCATTCTGCTGTCCCAGGTCCTGAACACTGCACATTTACCCAGAACTTGGCCATCCATTTGTCTTCTGGCCATGAATATGACATTCGCACCAGCCTTATCTTTTCTTTGGCTCTTTCGTCCTTCTCATTGGAAAATTCAAGTCTCACCGTCATTTGACATGAGTAGCATTGAAGGTACTCTTAAAGTAGTCAGAAACCAAATGTAATTCTATATGTACAGAAAGTTTATGAAGATGTCCAATCCACAGGTTTCACCTGTCAGGAAAGAACTGCATATTGAGTTAATTAGTAGTGATAGGTTATCAAATATCAAAATCAAATCAATTTCCCGTATAGCTATATGTACATACTCAACCTATGAACCAACAGTATGACTGTGGAATGGAATTGTTCAATGAATATAAGGTATCCAGAATACCTAATTATTAATTGTAAAAGTAAAGATAAAGAATATTTCTGAAATATATAGTAAATCATGCTGTCAGCAACTGTGACCATCACAATATGAATGTCACAAAATTTGGATTTGCTCTTTGGAAAAAAAATTTCAATTAGCAAAATGTAATATTTAAGTTATTCAGTGATATATAAAAGGCATGACATGTGCCTTTCATTCAGAAAGCACTGGTTTATATCACAGGTAAATTGTCTGGGTGGAGGACTGTGAAGTGCTCAGAAAATAAAGTGCTTACTGTGCAGGCATGGGGGGGCCTAATTTTCATCCACATTTCCTACGTGAAAACCTGGGTGTGACCGTGCACATCAATGGTCGCAGCCTGGGTAAGCAGGCACAGGACAATCCCTGGAGCTTTCTAGACAGTCGGCTTAGTTAAATCCGCAAGGTTCAAATTCAGTGGGAGACCACGACTCAGAAACCAAGGTGAAGAAGTGATTGAGGAAGATATTTGATGTTAATCTCTCGCCTCCACACACAGGCATACACGTATACATGAATCCAGAGGCACACACACAAGTGCGTACATACACAAGATAGGAGCATAAATAAATAAATAAATTCGTCAGGATGACTGTGCTTTTATTATGTAAAGGTGAGAAAAGATTAAATAGATTCTTGCGAATAAGAGGGTACAGATGCTGTCAGAAATTATGGAATAAAATGTGCCTCAAGTTTTTGCCAATTTAATTCTTACCTTATACCTGCTTTATTCATTTTCTTTGGCATGAATCCTTGAGTTAAAATTTACATGTGGCAGACTTTTAAACATATAAATATACATATTAAAATTTCCTTGATCCCTGGATAGGTTGTTGATTTATTTTGTGGGTACTGTAAATTTATAGCACATCAAAAGTTCAAACATTTTAATTAAAAGCAGAAAACATAAGAGCATTTTCACATGTATCTGCATGCATGGTTTTCCTTACTGTGTTTCTGGCATAGGCAAGCCTTGACAAATAATCATCTTGATCATTTCATTTGTTATAATTAAACAATGAAGTGCATCAGTAGTAGTAATCAGCAGATAATCACATCCTGGTGTAATTAGCAGGTATAGGACACAGCCAAGTATCTCTAATGTCTTGGAGTGTGATTATAAAATGATGGTTGTACCCAGTAGGTTGCCTAATTTCCATTGTAGAAATATGTAGTTTTTGGTAATGAGGTTATTTTAAAAATGAACATTTTTTCTTTCTGAAACATACATGAATAGTGACCGTTTGGAATATTCAACAAATTTGATATACAGTTCACTACTTGAGAAAGTTTCCCCTCTGTATTTCATAGTCTTACTTCTATACTCTGTCTTTACCAATATCCAAAGTTTTAATGATTAAAAAGTAATTAGCAAATCAATATCTTACCTAAATATTTCTTAATGTATCAAGATTAAAATTCAATAGAAAATAATAACCAAAAAGTAACTGGATATTTTCTTTTGCTGTTTTAGTTTTGAAATTTCAGCTAAATAGTTCTGCTCCCAGTACAGATAGCTGTCAGCCTTGGTTTTAATAGCCTGACAGGCCAAGTTGTTTATTTTCACCCTAAGAAGGTGAAAGGATAGCAAGGATACCTATCAAGAAAAAAATTAAATAGAGGTCTGTCCGTTGCTACATCTTTTGTGTGCTAATGGCTCAGTCACTTTCTTGGAATCACCTAATCAATCTGGATACTTTGTGGCGGTGCCTCTGTCCAAATCAAATGACAAATTGGCTGACTTGGCATGGCCTTTGTGCATCTTTCAGTGATGCACTTACAAAGCAAAGGCTCATAGAATGCAAGGGGGATCACTGAAAACCAAGAGATGCGGTTTGTTTTGGAAATGGTTACTTGTGTTTAGGATGTATGGGGCATGCAGAACTCAGTAACAACCATCATGTTTTTTTTGTTTTTGTTTCTCAGTGCAACAGTGACTATGTGCCTGTGTGTGGCTCCAACGGAGAGAGCTACCAGAATGAATGCTACCTGAGGCAGGCTGCCTGCAAGCAGCAGAGTGAGATCCTTGTGGTCTCAGAAGGATCCTGTGCCACAGGTACGCATGAGTGTCCCTGAAACCCAAATGGGTTGTGAATCCAATGGCTTCTTGTTTCCTCTTAGCTCTGAAAACCAACCTTACTATATATTGACTAGGGATTCCATTAATTCTTTGGTTAAAAACAAAAAAACAGAAAGCCTTACTTTTTTAAAAAAAAATCTTAAGTATTGGTAAAAAAAAAAGAAGAGATGTCTTGTATAACAACTGCTACCTCTAAGTACATATGTTGCTTAGTGAAATACAGACAGTTGAATAAAGTATAATTAGAAATGTGCATTGGGTGCCCACATATCAAGTTTATAGATAAAGTTTTTGTTTGTTCAGTTGATGGCTCCTTTAAGAAATGGGGTTATCCTCTAGAGTGCATCTTTTCAGGTTTGAGTTCTGAAGTCAACAAGTATTTTTGTGAAGGCACTAATGTCAGATTTTAACTTTAAAATGTACTGGTTACCATTTAGCAGATCACACTGAAGGATGCACTGGTGGTGTAAATAATTGACACTAACATCTGTCTTCTTGACACAGTTCAATTCAGATTCTTCAGCTCTTTAGTTATATTGTTCTAAGAATGCTGGAAAGGAGGAAGAGAGGGAGGGAGGGAGAGAGGGAAGCAATGAGCTTCTTAGCTTTTCACGGTTCTGTGTTTTAGTTTGTTTGATTGGTTTTCTTTTGTTTTCCTGATTCTTTTTCTTTTACCTTTTCTTTTCTTTTTGTTGTTTTGTTTTGTGCAGTGGTTGTTACAGCCCAGCGATTTACAGGTAGAGAAATAAAGCAACAACAACAACAAAAAAGCAATTAGTCAGAGCTTGCTTAGGAAAGCAGTGCTGCTTTAAGCAAGAGCCAAGTGCAGGTTACGTTCCAGGCGCCATAAGCACCTGGCCTAAATAACAGTAGCGCATCATGATAGCTACACTTAATTACAGGAACTTTTTGGAAAGTCATAGTTTCTGAGAAAGATATATGCATATTCAGGATAAATAATAATGCAATAAGAAAACTTCTGTCAAAAACTAGTACTAGGGAGTCTTTTATATAAAAGTCACTCTGGGGCAACAGGTTTTTGTCATTTTAGGGTGTTACAGGAGAGGCATGTGTTGGTTTGTTGGGGTAGGGTATAAAATGAACAAGGATAAAAAGTCTTGGGTTCCTTAGAAGTCTGTCTTCAGCCTACTTATTGTTAAGGGTGGATGACATTCAGAGATGTCCTTCTGACTACCAAAGTTTCCAAAATGAACAAAGGACAATCAATCAGGGACATTTCTCTGCTACAGAGATACAGTCTTTTGATTTTGGGCTGGTTGTTAAGGGGTCTTTTCTCCTGAATGATTCTTTGCCTCTGTATTTGAATGGCCTGTATGTGGAAGATGGTCGGGATGGCAAGCCTGTTTGGCCTCTGCTCACTACTGACTCGGCGGCAGAGCAGGTCATTGCTGCTTCTCCTGGAGTGAAAAGTGTGTCAAAAAATAACAGCACATGTGCAAGTCGGAGGGCAGGAATCCCTGCAGAAGAGGACCAGAAGGCTAACCTCAGAGTAGGAATCAGGGCATAGCAAGACCACTAAGAAACAAACTATGAAAATAAAGTACTCAGCCATACCAAAAGACAAAACAATAAAGAAAAGCGACTTCGGAACTAATGGGACAGACATGAATGGAACCGTTGGACCTCAGGAAGGTTGTAGATAATGCCAGGGAGAGTGGGAAAAGCTTTGTTTATGATCAAGGAGGGCACCTGACCAATTTGCACACCACCGGGTGAGGACCAGCCAGCCAGGTAGGCAGCACACACACGAAACAGAACAGGAGTCATGGCTATGGCAAACAGCATCTGGTACTGAAAATGGTATTCTTTCTCCAAACCTCTCAGTTCCTGTCAGTCTGCAGTCACACCCTTGATTCATTCAGGTCTATTCATCCGAGTCCCCAGTGTGCTGCTTTTACTATGAAAATAAATACTTAGCCAAGTAGAAAATTTAATCACAATTGAAGAAGCTGTCCTTACCTCATTTGCATACTTAGATTTCTGCAGGATTTAATTAGTCAGCCAGTTTAGCTGAATGCATCTTCTGTTGACTAGTGAATCTAAAAGGGTCTGGGTCTGAGCAGTGATGGAGAAACCAGGTCTGACAGCAAATAAATTGGGGTTCTGACTTGTCTTCATAATTTTCCCATTTATTTTTAATGCTCTTTGACACTGAGTGGAGGTGGCAAGTTGCGTTTTCTCTAGGAATAAAAGGCTGAAGAACATATAATTTTATATTTGCTCTGTGTCATTAGTGTTGCAAAACTGTTTTTGTACCCAGAATGTGGCTTCCCCATAGCTGGTCTCACTGCCAGCTTAACATCTTGCCTTGCAAGTACTGAGCTGATGAAGAACCCAGATTCAGGTCCAATAGAATCCCTTCTTTCTAGGGTGTTTCTGCCTCCCTGCGACTTTCTTAGGCTACTTATTTCTGGCTTGCCAAGATGACTCATCCTACAATTGAGAAAACATTAAAGCTTCCCATAAGTATTTCATAATGATGCTGTTGACTACAGTGGCCATTTTCCCATCTATTTCCTTTTTCTTCCCTAGCTATTTAATTTGGGTCAAATCAAACACTAATCACATGGACTAAATCCCCTGAAATTTGAGAAATATATGTAGGAGATAAAAGCCAAAATGCTACTACTATTTTTTCCCTCCTTTCCCAGCCATATGTATTTACTCAAAAGCCTAAAGATCAATAGGCAAGATGTTCTTTCTCAACATTTTAATTATCGTATTCCAAACAGTACTCATACATTTAATGTAAGCTATTGTTCACTATACTCATTAAACAGAAGGAATAGGCTTAAGAAGGTGGCTGAAGAGTCCTCTTGTCTTTAACAGCCTGCAGCCTGTGAACACACAAGCATGGAGGAACAAGCATTACGTTGGCCTGCCTGACAGAAGTTCTTGACTTTAGAAGTAAATAAGAAATAGACTTCATAAACAGAACATATGGGCAGGATGTAACAGTACAGCCTGTGATGTGGTCCCTTCGAATAAAAGTAATAGTGAAATAAGCTTTCACATTAATTCAGACAAAGTCAATTCAAATTTTACCTATGAAAGTATGCTCAGAGGAAACTCAGCAAACATTGACCATTTGAGCACTATTCTGTCCAAAGGAAATAGTGTTATAACTAATGAGTGTTGTTCTAACTGGAAGAATATGTTCCTGTCACAGAGAGAAATGCTTGAGCCTTTCTTAATATGTTATCATTAAAATTCCAAATCATAGGACTACAATTCTATGTTAGTTCTATATTTGTTAAGAAATATGTATATAGCCAAGCAGTGGTGACACATGCCTTTAATCTTAGCACTCAGAAGGCAGAGGCAGGATCTCTGTGATTTCAAGGCCATCCAAATCTACAGAGGAAGTTCCAGGAGAGCCAGGGCAGCAGAGAGAAACCCTGTCTCAAAAAAACAAAACAAAAATATCCTACATATATCAAAATAAATATATAATAAATAAACATAATTATAAATATATTAACAATAAATATATGTTAAGAAACATTTTAATATATGATTTATATTTACTATATATTTCTTTAAAATATATATTTATTATTAAAAATATTATTCTTAACATATATATATTACTGTTAACTGTTTCTATGAATTAGCTTGCATTTAAGTATATGTCTAGTCATGATGACTGTTAATGAATCAATTGATATTATCAAGACTTACTGTTCAACTGCTGCTCCTCCATGGCAGTGTTAGTGCCACAAAGGTAGACATGTTGTATAGATGCACCTACTCCCCCATAAATGTCAGTTCTAAATTTGCATGCCCCTGGCGACTCTATATTGTGTTTCTCAGTAAAATGTCAGAGGCCAGCAAGATGAAGAAATGTCTTATATTAATTAAACTAAACAACGAACACAAATTCATAGAGGAGGTGCTTGATGTATGTCTTGAATCCTGTATGAGATTCCAGTGTAGAGTAGTAACTGCCTATCTGAGACTACAAAGATTATCATATTACCTAGTTCTAACACCAGAAATCCACAATGAAACTTATTCAGAATGAAAAGATATAAGCAGAGAAAGGAAGATGTCTACATTTAGGAACAGATAGAAACTCAATAGTCTTGACCCAGACCAGGGAATTGAGTATTTTTGGAATCTGTGTTCTCAGAAAAAGCCAACTTTAACTACTTGCAATGACTTGGAAGGAAGGGCAGGAAGAAGCCGAGTCAGAAACTCAACACAGGACTGTTTCCCTGCCAACTTCTCTGGCTGGCTGTTCTGTTGTAAGCACCAAGGCAAAGGGAAGCTTACCTCTACTCATTTAAAGCACAGTGATTTAGCTACAGACAGACTCCTCAGCCAGTGTTGTATTGGTAAGCACCTCATCACAGAAAGTGCTCTCTTTAACTCTTTTTATCTTTGTTTATGAACAATTTGCGAGAATACAAGTCTTTGTTATTTATGTGTTAATATGCCACATATACTGTTTAATTTTGAAAATAAGGTTTCAGAAGCACCTCATTTCTCTTTCTTTATGTCAAAGTCTCCAAATCAAAGTTAAAACAGGGGGGTTTTCACATGGTCAAGTTTAGGACTTTCCCCAAAGCTATATAATACAGGTTTCACAAAGTTTAAGAATTAAAAACTATATCTTATTTATGTATTATGTCAATAGAAATTAGGTTAAGTTGAGAAACTATATATTAACAGATTAAATACTACTAATTTTCACACCAATGGTATTTTAGCTTTGAGATAGTAGACAAGCTGATGGTGCAGTTCTGTGAGCCCTACATTTGGGAGCTGATGGCAGGAAGGCCTGGAGTTTGGGGCTTCCCCGCAACAGAGCAAACTGTAAATCACCCTTGGTTACAAAAGACTTTCTCAAATGCAAAACAAGCACAACAAAACTACAACACTCACTGTTTAATGTATTTTTCAAGTGATTATGAACTGTTTGTGTTTTTTGTTTTTTCTTCCCAGATGCAGGATCAGGATCCGGAGATGGAGGTAGGACTTTTTTTTTTTCTGTATTTGGATGTTTCAGTGGATTACTGTGAATGCCTAGTGATACTAGTTCCAAAGCAGACATCTAAGAGAAGCCTAAATTTTGGATTTTAAGAGGAGAAAACCACATGAAAACTTGTTCTCCTAGTTTAGTTACTGTATATTCCGTGCCTATTTTTGGTCTGTTCATGAATCACACCCATCTCATTTCATCTCCTCCTTCATGTACTTGCTTGTGTGTGAGTTTAAAATGCATACAAACAGTGCCAAAACTTTAAAATACGATTGTAGACATATTTAGCAAGACAGAGAAAATTCATGGGGAAAATGTTTAAATATTTGGTTTTTAAATACATAATGTTGCCCTCAATCATCATTAACACATAAAAGACTTACAATATCAGAACTTAAATTAAAGTGAAGAAATTTTAGGTCATAAAAAATAAAAAGATAAAAGCTAAGTTAAAGACAACAAAATTCTATCTTTTCTTTCCTGATGAAATTAATATAAAGTTAATTTTAATAAAGTGAGGTGTAGTTTTGTTTGCTTTGCTTTGTTTGAGACAGAGTCCACTAAGTAGCTCTGGCAAACTTGGCACTCTCTGTGGAGACCAGTCCAGCCTTGAACTCACAGAGATCCACCTGCCTCTGCACCCTGAGCACTGGGATTAAAGGCGTGCATGGTGTATCCTATTTGGTTCAACCAGCTGAGATGTATGTTTTGATTACTTAATTTTATTTAAAGTATGTAAGAGAGGAACAGAAACTTTACAAGTCCCACCTGATCTGCTTACAACCAAAGAAATACTTTAATTTTAGATTAAACTTACCTTGTAAATATCCTAGATGCTTTTCCAAATGAAATCCCCACTGCCACTTTTACATACACAAAACAACTAAAGAACAAAACCCAAGATGTAATTATAAGATTAATAAAATGAAAATGAATTTGAAATAGAAATGCTATCTCAATTATTTTTAGGCTGTGTGAAATAATTGTTATAACTCTTAGCAAATATGGAATGTGGTGGAAACCAAATAAGAGAAAGCTTTGTGTTCAGGAAAGAAGGGATTCAATGCTGCACACTTGATCTAGTTTGTGAAACTTGAGTCTTGAAGAGATAAAGTCTTAACAATTCAAATAAGCTACACCTGGAGAGCACAGAGTTGCACATTGAAGCTCAGTATTATTCCAGAAAAGCTAAAACCTAAGCAGCAGTTATGACTCAAGTGCAGAGCATGTGTGACATCACACAGCTGTAGACTGCCATTCATATTTCAATAGACTTGCTTTACTCCTAAGAAATCAGTTGCTCCTCCTGCCTATGTGATGAATATGGTACTCTCCAGAAAGCTTCCTGTGAAAGGGAGAGCTTGAGAAACAAATTAAAACTTCATATAAAAGACAGGAAAGGCCGGTGACTTCAGCAGAAGTTTTGCCATTGAACTATTACGAAGGCAGTCCAGTTTTAAAATCTTGCTTCGGTAGGAAGTTGTTTCTACTCAGAGTTCTGTACAGTTCCTGAGCAGTTAGTTTTGTTTGCAGACTGCTCTGGCCATTACTCTGCTGAAACTGAGCTGTTCCACTGTTCACCCAACAAGTCTCGTTCCTTTGCTACCATGTTTATAAAGAAAACAAAAATGGTCCACAGAACACAGAATGTCTTCACGGTTGGGCTGAGTTTTCACCACATACTTTCCCTACCCAACAACCATCTTGTCTTGTTTTTAATAATAACCTGTGCTGTCTGTACCAGTACCAGTTCCTAGTTTTCATTCAGTGGTTTTAGCACAAGATAATGGAAGCCAAGCCAAGCCCATCCTTCCTTGTTACCGTTAGATTGAAACCATTTTGTTCCTTGTGCTCCCTACCATCTGAATAAGGTTGTTTGTTTTTTAAGGAAATCATTTTCCTCCTATTAGTATGCCATTGGTTGTATAGTTCATAAGCAGAGGGATACACCATTGGGAAACACCTTTCTTTCTCCAATTTGTTTCTCTCCTCTCTCAACCCATCTCTCCTTTTCTTCTTAACTATTCCCTTCAATTATAGCTTCAATAATAATAATAAGAAGAAGAAGAATAATACAAATTTTAAAGCTTATCAAAACACTCCTGTTATTATTGTTGCTGAGAGAGAATCTCACTTTGTTTTTTTTGTTTTTTTTTTTTTGTTGTTTTTTTTTTTTGGTTTTGGTTTTTCGAGACAGGGTTTCTCTGTGTAGCTTTGCGCCTTTCCTGGAGCTCACTTGGTAGCCCAGGCTGGCCTCGAACTCACAGAGATCCACCTGCCTCTGCCTCCCGAGTGCTGGGATTAAAGGCGTGCGCCACTACCGCCCGGCCCAAGATTCTCACTTTGTAAGCAGTTAGTCTGGCCAGGCTGGTCTTAAGCTCAGAACATTTCTCCTGCTTCTGCCTCCCAAATCTTAGGTCTACAGACAGGAGCTACCATAACTGACCAAATGGCTTCGTAAGATATATTTACTCGTAGGAAATAGGACATATAACCTTTTGAGCCAGTGGTTCTCAACTTTTCTAATGCTGCAGCCCTTTAATATAGTTCCTCATGTTATGGTGACCCCCAACCATAAAATTATTTTCATTGCTACTTCATAACTGTAATTTTGTAAAGGTAGGGGTTGAGACCTACATCTTTGAATTCTGAGATACAATCTTTCAAATAATAAATGTTCTGAAAATTTAGCAATAAGAATAAAAGTTTTAAATTAGAGACAAAGCTGAAATGCTGACTGGATTGCTTTCCCTAGCTTGTGTGGCACTAACAGTTTTGAATTTTATTTAAATTGTTTATTCTAAGATGTCAAATAGCTTGGTAATTACAACGACAAAGATAAACTCAAGTGCAGATCACATAGCCCTTGAATTGCAAAACTGGGTTTGGAGCTAACATTCTTAGCATGAACTATCTTTGTACTAAGAGGTCCTGTAAAGATCCTATGAAGAAGCTTTCAGTGGACCCAGGATCCTCCTTTGAATGAACTACAAGTGGTTGAACATGCTGTGACTGTTCTAATGTGAATATATAGGAACTGGGTCAGCTTTACAAGGGTGTTGGAAGCTTGGTGGTTGTGTTTGTAACGCCTCATTTGACAGAAAGTTCATATGATTCTCAAGTGGAGTGTGTCGAGATGACTGGTACAGTAAGCAGATGCGCCTGCAAACATTTGCCAGCGGTAACTGCCGTCAATGGAATGGTTAACCCCCAAGGCTAAATTCATTTAAAAAAAAATGTGTCACATCTACCTGTTTTAGATTGGCCTGTGTTTTTAAATGGAAGAATATCATATTAGTAAAGAAAATTAGACCTGATGATTTTAAGAATAATTTAAGCTTTACTCATTTCCACGGGGCATAACTGTGCAAATTTACTATGACTGAGAAAAACTTTTATCCTAAGTAAAAATGGATATAAAGGTTTTATAAAATTAACCTTGTTTGGACACACTTTATAGAAAGTGTTGACGGTTTTACTGTTCAGATCAAGCTTTTGAAATTGTTCAGTTTGTTCTGAAAATGTGTTTACAGTGTCTCTCCAACATGGTCTTCAATTTATGTTCATCTGTAAAGGGGTTTGCAGAGGAGAAAAGAATAATTACCCCATACAGTGATGGATGGTATACCATTTCAGGGTCTGTGTCCTTACCTTCTGGTGTTCAAGAAACCTTATAAAAATAACTTTACATTGTTAGTTTTGAACATAGGAGTTATGGAGTTCTGTGACTGATCAAAAAATATTTGAAAAGTCATCAACATCAGCATCAACATTGCTTCTGAATTGACTTGCACTAGAAAAACGTTCATGATAAACTATAACTCACTGTTTTGTGTGCTAGAAGATAATTCGTGAGCCACACTCCTAAGAACTTGAGAAAGTGACAGAATACGATTAGCAATTCAAGTGCTTTTATGTATGTATATGGAGACTTAGTGTCGTAAATAAGAAAGTGGTGTGTGTAGGAGGAATAATCACCTCCTATCTACCCACAGACTTCCTTAGGCAACAAATACTGAGGAAGAAAAAGTATTAAAGCAGCCTCTGCTCAAGATCTAAGGCTGCGTGGGTGCTGGAAGGATCCTTTAGCCTCTGCTTTTCTGCATCCTCAAGCTATATTATAAGGACAAGGTTTTGAATATTTTCCGCTATTCCCTTCTAAAGTGCTTTTGGATTGCTTCTGTTCTCATCAAATACGTAAAGATAAAAGGTCCATCCATAAATGAAACCCATATCATTTTCTTGTTGTTGTTCTTTGTTTTTTGGTTTTTGTTTTTTGAGACAGGGTTTCTGGTATAGCCCTGGCTATCCTGGAACTTGTAGACCAGGCTGTCTTGGAACTCACAGACATCTGCATGCACCTGCCTCTGCTTCCTGAGTGCTAGGTTTAAAGGTATACACCACCACTGCTGGGCTGAAACCCATAGCTTAACACTTAAAATATTTGCAGATGTGCTGTCCTGCTGTAAATGAGGCAGAATCCACAATCAACTTTTAATGATATCTTCTGAAAGGTCTACAGTATTTTCAGAATTAAATATGTATCTGAGATACATGCTATAGATACAATGGTATATTGTTATTTCATGAGAACAAGTAAGCACTTAGCAAATATACACACTCTTGAGTTCCACATCTCTAAGACAATCTCATTGTTCTGTTTCTTCAGAGGAAGTTTCCTTATATTCAAGCTGGATTCAAACTTGTGATCCTCCTGCCTCTGCCTCATTTTCTGATATTACAGACACAAATTACAATAGCCTGCATCCAAGAGAACTTTTAAATAGATTAATATTAGAAATGCACAATAGCAAGTTGACTTTATATCTGGTATTTGTGTAATTCATATGAATTTCACGGTAATTAATATTATGATAACTTTAAAGCAGAAAGCCAATTAATATTTATTTTTACTCAGTGAAAAACTCCCCTTTCCAGTTGCCTTTAGATAATATTCCTCAAGATTTCAGTAATTAAAATATTTACTTCA